GCCTGCATGAACTTGCACAGCTTACATAATTGCTGTGGAGCTTCACCAGCAGCGGTCCTTTGCGTTGGTACTGTCAACTGTTCGATGGAGGTGACAACTCCAGATTCATACACACTCTTCGAAAGAATCATGGAAGCGGATGGCATGGCCCCCTGCCTGACAATTTTTCTCTACAAACAAGTGTCTTTCCACTTCCCTGATAATTTGGAGGAGTGTATGTCGTGCTGTCAGCGAGGAATCCTGGCTCAAATCCTCATGCTGCGTACAGCTTTGCCAGGTTTCCAATGGCGACAGTGGAGGCCTTTGGTGCTGAGCGCTTCGCAGTTCCTGCACATCCTTGGAAAGCCAGATTTGACCAGTCAAGCCTACATTGGACATGCCGGACATGAGTTATCCTTGCTGTCCAGGCCGCGTCGCGGGAAAATCCTCGAGCAATTTTGCAAAAAGGAGCTGGCGCGGCTGAATCCGAACAGCAAAGTTGAAGAGCCTACTGAAGGGATTCGTTGCAATGGAAGTCGCAAGCCCACATCACAGGCAGAGTATGATTTCATGTTGAATGGCCGCAAATCTGAGTGCAAAAGTGCCCAGATGTCTTGGAACCAGCATGGGCAGTATTGGCGGCTGCTGTTCCATAAAGTCAAACTTCCATGGCCAGGTTTTCGGGACCAGGCGCCATTTGATGATTTGTATTTGATAATGTTCAGCCCAGACAGCTTGCACATCCTCAAGCATGACCTTCAGAGCAGAGTTTCCACAGCTGGCAAGCGAACAGGAAGCAGTGGTCATGCGATTAGTGTCTCAGGTGCACGGGGGCAAGAACGTTGGCAAACGGCGCGGTCTCAAATACTTGACAAGTTCCTGACTGCAGGTCACTGTGAACTTGTGGCTCACATAGATTTATCAGCCGCAGAAGTGAGGGCATTTCTGACACAGCAAATGGAAGGAATGGCAGCGCGGCAGGACCACGAATACAAGGGGGCACCGCTGAACCACACAGGGTCACAGCTGCGGGGCTTTCAAATTGAGAAGGTAGCATTCGAAGTGGATCAGATTCTCCATCCAAATGGTTCTTTTGAGTTTTCCAGATCTTCTTCCGACGTAGACTGGGTTCGTGGAGGTGTGAAAGTGGAAAACAAGCACGGACAGATGCTATTTGACCGACACCTGCAGTGTTGGCACTGTAATTTCTCACGGATCAAGTGTGCTGGTGCCAACGTTCGTGAGCATAATCTTTTTGATGAGCTTTGGCTTGCAATCTACAGCCCCTTTGGCCTGCACTTTCTCAAGCATCCTGGCGACTTCGACCCAAGCATGACGCTGGGTCCACGTGGAAAACACCTGAGGCTCTCTGCGCCCAGACATGTGCTTGATGTTAAGGAGGCGCTTGACCAAATGCTGAACAAGATGGAGGTTGATTGGGGCTGTCAGCCTTTAGCAACAGTCCTTTGGGACACCAGTGGTTAATTCAAGACGCCAGGCAGAAACTCTCGGTCTCTTTTGTGCAAACTGTGTGCGAAGGTTGCTCGCGCTTGCTTGCTTTCACTTTCGTTCATGACGCTGAGTGTTTAGGATTAGAATGAGTAGTGTTGTTTATCCTAGCCAGTTTCCTGTAGCGCAAGCTGTGCCCTGAGCCCTGACCTTTCACACACAGAGCTCTGAACCACGACCCACTCCACGACCCAAGGAGAGAGTGGATGGAGTTTTTTGTTGATCGCAGGGCTGCAGAAGGGGGATTAAGCTCTCTAATTATTGTTGGGCTGGGCACTTGAAGCGCTTTCAGTTGATTGACGCAGAAAGCATGATTGCGAGGGAGCCCTTTGGATCGACCTGAAGAAGGGCATCGCGGAGAATGGCTCCTTCTACACGAGCCTCTTGGGTTCGAAGTGGGTTTTATCTCCACCACCCAGCTGGCATGGGTGAGGATCCCTAGCAGGATGACATTGGAAAGCAGTGTCCTCGGTTGGGCAAGCCATCCACCTTCAACGCAGCAGTGGCAGGGAGTTCGATTAGCAAGCTTTTGCGCAACGCCCCTCGAAGAACACTTGGACCTGCAGGCAATTTGGGACGGCCTTGTAGTGCAGTGGTTTCTGTGGGCAAGGATGGCAAAGTGCAGCAAAGATGGAATGGATTTTGACCTTGTTCAACAGTTTTAGACACTGATAGATCACAGGAGCCAAGTAAACTGCTATTTTCCAACCATATGCCAGAGGGATTGCAAGCCCAAGAACTGCCATCAAACAGGTTACGACATATGCTATGTGACACCCACCGTCTTTGCGCAGCCTGTTTTTTCCTATATACAGCCGCTCATGAATCACCGGACTTGTTTTGCTCACGGCCATTGTGTCACCGAGGTCGGCGCCAGCGAGGCGGCGATCTTTTTGCTCGAAAGGCGCTAGGCAGGGCGAAGGGACGGCCATGTTGCGGTGATGTCCCACTGGGAGAGCGAAGGTGGTCGCTATACAGAGGACAGGTTAGTGGGATCCAGGAGGGTTGCCGTTGTCCCTAGTGCCCTAGTGTCATGATACTGAGCTACAATGAGTGGCTCCATGTTTGCAACACGAGAGTTCAGTCCGTGCATTTCTTGCTCGGTCCATGCATTGAGTTTGGCTCCAAGAGCAGCGCAATGCTTTCAGTGCATGACGCAGTTTTTCGGACTGACCCCATCAGGCTCAGCGAAGCCTGCCCAACCCAAACAATTAAAATTGCCACACCCATGTGATTATATTCAAAATGATGTGTATATTGTATAT